GCCGGGGTATGGCGGGGCCTACCGCGGGGGTTTCCTCGGCCTAAAGGCGCCGCGGGTGCGGGCTCCGAGTGCTGGTGTCGGGTGGTGCCGGGTGGTGCCGTGCGTTTGGGTTTGGCTGTTGTCTGCCTGACCTGCGTGAATCCTCCTTTCCCTCCCAAATCCCCATGAACCCTTCGCTCGGCCTCTCCAGGGCACGGAGTTGCTGCGGGTGTTTGTCTGCCAGGGGCAGCTTCAGAACGGTGCCCTCGGACAGGGTGGTAGGGAAACGGAGTACCCATACCCTGGGTGTGCTGGGGCTGCGACAGCAACTAGTGTACAGGGATATTTATTTGTGTTGGGAGTCAGTGTTGGTGTGGCACTCGCCTTTCTTGGGGATAAATAAAACACGGTTCTCTCCAGTGGTAGGGGGTATGTTCTTCCTGGGCGGGTTGAGCTGTAAGTTTAGTCACAGGGGGTTCTGGTAAAGCTCACATGTTTTGATGGGTTTAGTGATAACGTTGCCATTGTTGGACCAAAAGGCACCCTGGGAGAAAGAGAGCTTATATAAAATAGTGTGTGTCATCCTCTTATTCCAAGAAGAATTGGGAAGATGGTCATTTTGAAGGACTGGTTAGGGTGAGATGTTAATGGGAAAGAGCATGGGTTATGCAGAAAGTGTAAAAGAGTTCTGTTATTGTTTTTCATACTTGGAGGGAATTCTGTGTCAGCATTGACAGGATACCTGAAATCAATATTCACAGAAAGCAAACATGAGGGAAATGAATGGGTTAGCATTTTTAGTAGCTCTTTAAGGGATGCTGATTCAACTGTTTTTCCTTTGAAGGTTTTCGGAGCAGCATGAGTTCAAAAAGCCGAATGATGACCGTGCTCTTCATCTGATGACCAAGTGTGCCCAGACAGTGATGCAAGAATTGGAGGATATTGCTATTGCTTATGGACAGAGTGATGAATACAGTTTTGTTTTCAAAAAGAACAGTAGATGGTTTAAAAGAAGAGCAAGGTAATAGCTGCTTTGATACTCAAGTGAACTTGGTTTTAACATCTGTTCGTAAACCTGTAATTCTTCTTTAGATTTGCCTTTATCTATACAGAGAGGTTAGGAGTAGGACTGTATTTGGGTGCGTGTACTACAATTAGTTCAGGTTCTTCATGTGAAGTCTTTGCAAATGATCTTTCAGGAAAATGTGTTCAGTGGTACAGAGCATAAAAAAAAATCTGATAAAGCAAACATTAGAAACAAGTGTTGTTAGAACAAACATTCTTTTAACAAAATGTTTGCTTTTCCAAATTATTTTACTTGATTCTCAGTACTTCCTGTTCTTAAGAAGAATCTATGCCGTAGCTGATAAGTTGGGCCATTATTTAAGAAATGTTACTATCCACCAGAATTATCACTCCTAATGCCTCAAATATTCACAGATATATAATCATATTGAAATATTTCTTTCTTTTTTTCTTTTGTTTTGTGTTTGCAAGTAAGTTCATGACTCATGTGGTCTCCCAGTTTGCCTCAAGTTACGTTTTCTATTGGAAGGATTACTTTAAGGACCAGCAACTTCTGTACCCACCGGGATTTGATGGACGAATTGTGTTGTATCCCAGCAACCAAAATTTAAAGGACTACCTCAGCTGGAGACAAGCAGACTGTAAGTGTTTCTAGAAAACGGAGATATGTGCAGTTGAATTCTCTTCCTCTCCAAGTAGAAATGCCATTATTGCCATATAGGTATCGTTGTAGTTTTAAATAAACAATATTAGAATTTTCTTGGGCTCTGTATGGATGTAGAAATAATGGCTGAGTCTTCAGGCTACAACTATATTTGTTGCAGGCTAGGAGTGACTTCAGCCCAGGAAATATGAGAATTATTAATAGAATTAATGCATTATTTTTTAACTTCCTGGCTTGTTTAGCCAAGGTAATCTTCTTTAATGAAGAGATGTGAATCTTTGAATTCACACCATGGAGCAAAATTGTAGCAATTAAAAGTGCTGTTTATTCCGTGCTAGAACAGACCAGTGGATTTAATTTCTTGGTTTTCATTAGTCCCTGTTGCTCAAAAGGAGATAATTTATGTTACACATAAACACCTTTCACCCTCCCCTCTCTTTTTTCAGAATTTTATAATTAAATCTGTCTTATTGACATCATGGTATGCAGTACCTTAAAAATTACTCAGAAAGATTGTGTCTTCTCTAGCGACTGATGTTATTAATTCTCCTTTAGTCTTGGCTGTTTCTTGAGTGTGTTTTTTCTGAGGAGTCACTCAGATTTGGTGAATACTCTTTCACTCTTTTTTTCTGTAGGCCATATTAATAATCTTTATAATACGGTGTTTTGGATGCTTGTGCAGCGAAGTGGTTTGACACCAGTGCAAGCACAGGACAGACTCCAGGTAAGATTCTCTTGAGGTCTTTTTTTTTTTTTTTTTTTTTTTAATAGCTACAAAGAAAATCATAAGATTTGCGAAGCTGTGTCTTTCTTAATTAGCAAGTTCAGAAATCTTAAAAATGTCATGTAAACATCTGGTAGCCATAAACACGAAGTACAGTGGCAGGATTCAGCAATTACCGATTCCCAGTCCCTTCTGTAGTATTTTGTCTCATTGTGCAGACTTCAGCAGATTATTTCTGTTTTCTCTTGGCGTCTGTTGACTTTCTCTTATTTGTCTTGAAAATATAATAAAAACCCTCTCTGTTTTAATATCCTCTTTTAGCAGTTGGAAAGAATCCCTCTGTTGGGAGATATAATTTAATTTCACCTTGTAATTTAAAGGTGAAAAACCTGTATAAACTTCTAGTATTAACCCATTTTCTACTCTAGAGATTCAGTTTGTTTGTTTTCTATAAGAGTACTTTTTTTATATTTTCTCTCAGGGAACTTTGGCTGGAGATAAGAATGAAATCTTATTTTCTGAATTCAACATCAACTACAACAATGAACCTTTGATGTATAGAAAAGGAACTGTCTTAATATGGCAGAAGGTAGGAAACTATATTGCCACTTGCTTCACGCTCGTGTTTTAAACAGCTACACTGTGGCAAACAAGCTACACTGTAAGATCACCACATGTATCCCAGATGTATGTCTATGTGTAAATTTATTTTAAAACTAACCACATTTGCCATATAATGGTGTGTAAGATGACTAATTTCTTTAGATGTGTTTTTGAAATATCTTTATCTATGAGCATAGTATAAAAATTAGTCTCTGAAGTCTGGCATAGATACACATTATGACTGTTTAAATAAAATATGTATCAACAGATGACTATGTATACGTAAAATTTCACAAAACTGCTTTATTTTCTAGATAAATCTCCCTCATTTAATGAATCATAGAGTTGGTTTCTTAGTATTACCAGCTTTGAAAATTGAGGAAGTATTTTACTTCCTGAAAAACTACATTTTAATGACTGTTACCAGTTTGATATGGTAATCACTGGGGCATGTGCCAGGCCTGTCCTGGGATTAGATCCCAAGTATTTCTACTGCAAAGGAATTATCTTGCCAAACTTCTGTTCGGTAAGAGAGCTCGGCTTATAGTATGCTTAGTCCTTTTCTATTTCTGTAAAGGAGCACAGTAAGGAGTGCAGCTGTTAATGGGAAATTCCTTTTAATGGTAACTTGGAAATTTTCATCATTCTTGGATTGCATCATTGATGCAGAGTTAGTTTAAGAAGTTTCTGTCCTGTGTTTTGTATGAGATGACACCCCAGAAAATCATAAATGTTTATGGCCTCAGTGTCCTTCTGTAGTAGGAGATCTTAATTAGAAATATCTGCTGAGAGTTCTCCATAACCTGTTCAGCCTTTCAACTTCCATACGTAAAAAAACTAAAAGCTGATAATCTACTTCAAATTAAGTAATAGAACTACTTAGATAGAGGTTCAAACCTGGAAATATATTCTACTTGTTCTTTATACATACTTTTTTTTTTGCTTTGTAATTGTAGTCATTTGCAAGGTTTCCCATTTGTTTTGTATAGCTCCAAATTAAGTACTGTACTTTATTCAAGAATTCTTGCAATCAGTTATGTGAATTTGCAGGTAACTTCTTCAAGCCACGTGATGATGGCGTGCGGTTTCAATTGCTTGTGTGTTAGAGAACAGACTCTTTCCAAAGATTTAGCCTTCAAATCCTGTAGTATGCCACAGGGTTGATAGTTGCTTTTGTTGTAGCTTTGTTTCTTGTCAGTTTGTGAATCCCCTCTTTTATGCCTGCTAATGTGTCACCTGTATTTTCAGATTAATGAAGTCACGACTAAGAAAATAAAACTGCCGAAGGAAACGGAAGAAAAAGAAGTTGAGGTGACCCGAACTAGGACTAAAGTTGTTCCCCTGCACTGTGACATTATTGGGGACCAGTTCTGGGAGGAATATCCTGAGATCCTGGCTGAGGATAGTTGATGCCTCTGGTGAATGTAACCTGTAGTTCACCTTTGGCTCTGCTTGGGTTGTTGTTGAGTGAAGACTATGGTGACTGTGACCCTCTGCAGGAACTGCACTGGTTTTAGCACTGTTGGTGCCTGAAGAAAAGACACCGTTATGTTCTCCGACACACAAGGATATGCCAATATGGAAAACTTAAAATCATATTACATTTTGAATCTTAAGAAGTCCTCATAAATTGGCGGCTTCTTCCTTGTACATGCATATTTGTAAAAAAAGTGTATAGAAATTTCATGCATTTCTATAGCTTTTAAATCATGAGGTATTTTACTGAACTACTGAACTATAATAAAGCTGGCATATTTGAACAGTTAAAAGCAGAAGAAAAAATAATTATTTTTATTTTTTTTTTCAACCGAGGTGGACCAGAATATTTCAATTGGCATTTAGTGTTCCATTTCAAGGCCAGTGTGTTTGGTCAAATCAGTCACAAACTGTTCAACTGCCTTATATCTCTGATCCTTGCAGAAAGGAAATGGAGTCACCCCAGCAGTTACGTATGACTGGTTTTAAAAGCTTTTGACAAATGTACAGGGTTTTTATACTTTTTAAATATAGTAACATTAATAAAAAAAAAAAAACTTCCCTGCTGTATTTATTACTTGGCCTCTCTCATTCCTGAGACTTTTACTAGTAATTGGTGACAGTTCCAAACAGTGAAGTTGATAGTAAGGTGCTGTAGAGATGTGAATTCTGTTAGGACGTGGGTAGATGTGCTCTCATCCTCTGTGGCCAGGGAAGTCACCTGTCCCCTGCTGTGCAGCAGAGGGACAGGCAGCAGCACAGGGGAACATTCCTTGTGCCTGCAAAGAGGATGCTGACAAGAACTTTTGCTGCTCTGGTTTTTCTTGGAATGACACAGATGTAGCTGATCTGACAACACGTGTGTGTTAGAGGGAGGGTGGGAGTGTGTGTTGCCTGGTCTGGGCATAGTTTTGTTCTGGTTTAACTCTGAGTTAAGACCCTTTCTCAAAACAGTTAAATCATGCAAGCTCTCAGGGCGGAAATATTTCTGCTAATGGAAGGGGGCTTGTCCCAGGGTAACGAATTTGAAGGAAATAACCTATTTCAGCATAGAAATACAACTATAATTATACAATAGGTATTAGTAAGGATATTATTACTGCTTCTAACTGTACTGCTTTCAAAAACATGGTGCTAGAACCATACTCTGTCAGGCTGTTGCTGAGGGATAGTCAGCAGTTGGGACTGGCCATAAAAATGGAAAGAAAGGATGAAATATGATGAGGAAGGTCAGTTCTGAGTTAGTTTCCCATGAATTTGTGTAGCAGCCTACTCCTCTGTTTCCCTTTTTCTTCCTGCAGGAAGAATTTACACATTTAAGGCAATGTGCGTGTCTGGGGGTTTTGGGTTTTTTAAAAAACAAGAACCACTAAACATGTACTTCTGTAAACTACCACTTCACAGTTTCTTCCTGAGATTAAACAATGAGTCTACACATTTGTAATAGCGCAGGGTTTCCCCTCTGCTGCTGTGTGCTCATACTGTGCCCTTCGTGCAGTGAGATAATGCATATAATTTCAATTTGTAGAATGGGCTGTGTAATTCCTAGGAAGAGGATATGAGGGATTGTGAGATGATGACTCCGAATGAATCATTGCACCCGTCATTTACCGCAAAGAACTTCCTATCTGCCTGTCTGGTTGGTTTTTTTTTTTTTTTTTCGTTTGTTTTTTTCTTTTGTCTTGTAACATAAATGTAATTTACTCGACTTCGAAATGCCATATGTTACTACCTGGTGTCCAACTCTGGACATGACATGTAAAGCAACTGTTCCAGAGCTGGTAACATTTGGATTTTGCAGTCTGAATAAAGAAGAAAAAAAGTTTTGGCAACCATGATTCATGCTTGGAAAGGATTAGGTAGGTTTTTTTATGGTATATATGATGATGCTTGATACATCAATTGATACATTCTACACTGTACATTGTGTGTGTGTATCAAAAATGGGTCTGTATTAGGTCTTCTCCTCAGAGCATTTTCTAATTAACTCACGTCCATACCATAATATGTAATAAGCAAACTGTACCTATTTACATATGGATGCAGACTTTGGCACCAAGATATAGATCGTCTGTACAGCCATGGCCTTTAATTTGTATTAATTTAAATGCTAGAAAAAGGAATATGCCTTTGTAGCTGTAGGGGAAAATAAATCTTCCCAGGTTTCCAGGAGCAGACTGGCATTTTGTGGTTGGACTCGATGATCTCTGAGGTCCCTTCCAACCACTACGATTCTGTGATTAGTGGCACATGCAGCTTGACCTGTGTCCTTGCTTATAGGTCTTCCTATAGCTGCAGAAGTGACCCAGAGAAGAGCTAGGTGTTTCCCCGGCGTTGCTCAGCGAGCTCTGGCTGATGCATTGCCATAACAGGAACCACTAAACGTCCAGGAACCAGTTATGAAAGGTTAATGGTAGGTGGTGGAATCTGTTACAGTAAAACCGCTTGGCAGCATTAATACACGGTGCCTCACTTTTCTTCGGAGACAAGTTCCTGTGCTGTGAGCCCTTCTATGGATTAAAATGCAAGTTACGCGGCAGCCGCCCATCGCCCGTGGCGGGCGGAGCGGGGTCCCTGCTCGAGAGAGCACCCCCAGAGCAGCTGCAGGGGGAGGCCCCAGTGCAGAGCCCCGCCGTTGAGTTGCACCAGGGGCTTATCTGAAGGTGCACGGAGAAGGGAAGCACGGGGGGACCGGTAACTCCCCGCCCCGCTCCGCCCCTCGGGGCCGGGCGCGGGCGGTTCCCCGCGGTCTCCCCTCCCCTCGCCGCACCGCCCGGACCCTGCTTAGCTTGCGGGCCCGCCGGGCGGCGCAGCGGCACCCCCTAGCGTCGGCGGGCCGGGCCGCCGCCCGCAGCCCGGCATGGAGGAGGACGAGGGGGCTGCGGGAGGCGCGGAGCAGCGGCGCCCCCGCCGCCGTCCCGGGCCCGAGCGCTCCCCCAGCCCCAGCCGCCTGGACGTGAGCTCCAGCCGCTTCGACCCGCTGCTGGCGCTGTACTCCCCC